AAAAAGCATATGATAGTGTTATCAAACTGCAAATGTTTGATAAAGAGAACAATACGAAGATGGAATAAGTGTTATTTGATCAACTTATTTTTATTATTAAACTTTATTAAAAAAGTCATTAAAATCTTATTTGTCTAGTATTTAGTTTTTTTTATGTGTTTTAGGACTACATCACATCTTTAAAATGATGATATTTCCTTTTATTTCAATTATTATTTTGAAGTCAGGAGATGTATTTGTCAAAGTAATATTTATCATTTTAAATTCTTAAATATATCATGCAAATTATTAGGGAAATCTATTTTTTTTAATGAATCTCAAAAATCTTTTTTTTTCCAATCTCGATAAACATTAAAAGGTAAAGCTTATATTATCTATCTATTTTGAATCTCAAAGGTCCCATCATCCTTAAAAAATCTTCAATAAAGAAAATTAATAAAAAAAAATCTTGTTTAGAATGATTTAATTATACCCAGACTAGAAATCAAGTCATTTGATTATCTAAAAAAATGATTGATAATATGCATTCAGATCATGATTAAACTATTTTTTCTCTAAGGTAACATATTTGAATTTGAGATAAAATAAAACCATCTTCGATATATTATTCACAAATAAAAATATATTTTTTGTTGTTTTTTTTTTGTCTTAAATATTTCATGGATAATAATCTAGATTAGGATCACCTGAGAATATTTTTTAGAAGTCTTTGAATAATCAATGAAATCCTTTAGATAAAAATAAAGAGAAAGTTTATGAAAATAGATAAAAATTGTTATAAAAAAGAGAAAAAAATATTTAGAGAAAATGTTATCAAAGTGTCCTTAATAATTGTGCAAAGTCTAGAATTGAAAATAAAGTTTCAACAATAAAAAAACAAGATAAAAATAAAAGAATTAAGGTTACAGTGAAATTAATCACTAAATGTTAAAATCAAGGTGGTATGCCTATACTTTAACATTTTTAAATACCTTTTGAGCCTTGTATTTCATATTCTTTCATAAGCATAAAACTTAGTCTATATTACATGTTTTTAAAAGCTTTTTTGGATTAATTTTTTTTATTTATTTTGATAAGTTTTTAATTACATGTTTTTAAAAGCTTTTTTGGATTAAAAAATCTTAATTTATGTTGATAAGTTTTTAACTTCTAAAAAGAAAAGAAAAATATTTTTTCAACTAAAATTATAACTTGTTTGTATGTTTTATATTGTTTATTATGACATTGAATCATAATTGTTTACCAATAAATAAGCAAGATCAATATAACATGAAGTAACATACTTATCTTTTTTGAAAGAAAAACTTTTCTTTTAAATTCAACTATCTTTCTAAAAATATTTCTATATATTTTCATGCCTAAAAAATAGATAGAAATTTTTAGATAATCTTTTTTGTATATATCCAACAAACCTTCATTATATTCCAACATAAACATTTAAAATTTCATCACAATACTTCATGATTTGTTTTGGGCTTTTGACTAAGGAAAAGAAAATGTCAATTAAATGAAAATACTTTTATCTACATGAACATAACCATTAAGATTTATGGATAAGTCCCAAAAGGTATATAAAAAAATAATTTTATGAAATAAAAATATTTTACAACAAAACTCTCATTTAACTAAGTTTATGATAAAAACAATGATGAGGATAATACATGCATGCCCTATAATAATTATTGAAAAATATGATTATGATTAGATTTGCTGAGAGAATTATATTTGAAGAAATTCATGGAAACTCTAACTATTAAATGATGATTTGAAAAACTATATCATAAATTAAGAGTAGAAGTTATAACTCTTTCACGGTGTTAATAAAAAATGATGTATTAACCATGCTCGTTTAAGGATGAAAATAGAGAATACAGGAAGGCAAACTTGTAGTGAGCCTAGAAGGCATTTATGTCACATTGGCAAATTAATAATCAAATTTAAAGATATTTCTAAAGCTATAAATAATATCAAAAGGGAAGATAGAATCATGAAAATATACAATTTGCATCTCTCTTCAACTATAAGAATCATTATTTAAATATAAAATCAAAATTAATTATTTCATAAGAAAAAACATATGACATGTTCAAAATGAGTTTGCAATTAGGATATCTTTAGCTAAATATCATAGTTAGGTAAGTCAAAAGTAAACTCTAAAATCAATGTAGTATTTTATATTATAATGAGTGCCATTATTTATTTTTTAGCGAGACTTATTTTACTTTTATTTTGTTTTTAATGTAATTACCTCTCAATAAAACTTATTTTTAAAGTATTTGTTTTTAATGTAATTACCTCTCAATAAGACTTATTTTTAAAGTAATATGTGTGTGTGTGTGAAGAAAAAGAAAAATTTAAGATAAGGAAACCAAAATGGCTGATGACTAAAGCAATATAATGGAAGATCATAGAAACAAGAAAAATAAAAATAAATGGGATTCAACTAAAAATAGAAAAATTATAAAAACAAAATTATCATTCAATGAGAAAATAATATAAAATATTTCTAAATATTATTTTTCCTATTATTTTCTTTTCTTGTTTTGCTAGGAGTAGTAAAAATATAAATAAAAAGGCACGCCACTAAAAACAAAAGAAAAAAACAAAAGAACATAAAAAGAAACTAAAATAACCATCGAACAAGGACACACACAAATGCTCCTCTCTCCACACAAAAAACCCTAGTAGCCAAAAACCCATCTCGTAAACTCTCTCACCAATATGACCACTAGTCTTTTATAAACCTATTGTTTCTTGTCGATCAGCACTATAGACACATAGCCACATCCCCTAATCAATATATCAATAACCCATACCACACAAAACCACCATATATTTTTTTTATTTTCCAATAAAAAAAATCCCAAGTCCACCATTGCTAAACCCAAAATAGCCACAGTCCTCGTATCCCTAACACCATACTACAATAAAATTATTAATTCATCACTTCAAAAAAAATAAGAGAAAAGAGAGAAATCCAAGTCCACCATTGCTAAACCCAAAATAGTCACAGTCCTCGTATCTCTAACACCATACTACAATAAAATTATCAATTCATCACTTCAAAAACAATAAGAGAAAAGAGAGAAACAAAATGAATTATTTTTACGCAATCTCTCTCCTATATAAAAGAATAAGGGAAAGGGCACACCTAATTCTAGCCACTATAACATGTAAATCACATGCACCACGATCCATCTACAATGTCTATTTATTAGTGCATGTTCATTGTTATCTTTGTCCCTCTTTGTTTTAATAGCTTCCACTTAGTCCTGATTGTCTTCGAGGGTCACCTAACATATCAATTTGTTTGTTTTGATTAATTCACATCATATTTTTTTTGATTTTGTATGTTGGATATTATATTTTTCAACACTGACGTATTTATGATGAATAATTTGTTATATGTAGTTGATTTTTGTACATTGATATGTTCATTTTAATTATTATGAGATTTATATTTTAAAGGTGTGATTATACGGTTTTTTGATTTTTTATTGTGTTGTTTGACTATCATTGACTTGAGGATGGTAAAATTCTCACAATATTTTTATCCTTCAAAAATAGAATTTCATCACTAGAATAAAAAAATTTATATTTTTTTAAAGAACATAAATAATGTTTTTTATTAAAAAGTTGATTCAAATATAGTAAAATCCTTAAAAGGGTTTTGTACATGAAAAGTTGAGATTTAATTTTTTAAAAAAAATTAAAATAAGAGTTTTGCTTTTGTTTTGACTCGAAAATTGACTTGAGCATGATAAAATCCCTTTTTAAAAGGGTTATGTCTTCGTGGAGTCAAAAGTTTGGCATTTTCATGAAAGAAATATAAAACCATTTAAATATTTCTTTATAAATATTATTTGGTCTTGTAATTTGTCCCACTTTTTCATGATCAGCAGATGAGAGTTGAGTTAGCTTGATTTATTGTGGCTTATTAAATATGAGTGGAGGTCTTTAAACTTAATATAAAATATAATAAAAATAATTATTTACATTCAACAATAAAAACACATATACCAATTTAGAAAAGTTGTTAGCATAAAAGTACAATTTTTATTTTTTATTGCTTTCCTTTAATATAATCAATTCTTCACTTGTTAAAATTTCTAGTTACTTTAAAATTAAATTAAATGATAATTTCATTTTTGTTTTAATTCTTGTTGAAATATTCTCGTTGACAAATATTGTCATGTTAAATTTAAATTCAAATATGAGTTGTTATAAAATAAATGTAAATGAACAATTTAACTAGTTAGACCTATGTAAGAATTGATTGAAAAACGAATTTATTTCAAATGGAGAAAATTGTGTTTAAGGTTTTTGTTGCCTTTCAAAAAAAATAATCTAAGGAAAAAAAATACTATAACTATTAAAAAAATAATTTGCAAATTAATGAAAAATAAATGGTAATAAACAAGAATGGTCAAAATAATTTTTTTTAAAAAACCATTCCTTTATGCTAAAAAAATTATTTTTTAATCTAAGAAAATGAAATAAAAATAGTAAAAAATATATTTTTAAAATTATTGACTTCATGTAAGATTGTAAAAGTTTATACATGTCAATTAATGGCATCCAGACTCTTAAAAAAAGAATCAGATACAAAAGGAAAAATATAAAAAATATTCAATAATGTTTTAACTTTTAAGAAATATGGGATGGTAAATGAGTTTTGATTTCTCGTTATAAGTTTGGATTCTAATATAAAAAAATATAAATTTTCACAAATTTACCAATTTTAAGATAAATTAATGTTCGAATATGAGAAGTTTAGATTTTAAGTTAAAATAAATATAATTAAGTGTGTTTGACATTATAATGTTTTTTTTTAAATATTTTTAATTTAATATATTTTTTAGTTTTTAATATCAATATATAAAAACTATTAAAAATATTAAATTAATATTTTTTAAAATAAAAAATAATTTTAAAAAACTTTAAATAACAATGCTATTAAAATGTCAAATCCACACTAAAAATCAAAAACAAGTAAAAAAACACAAGAAAAAGGAAGCGTAATCTCCGCTAACATCTGCCACCCACAAAAGACCGCCTTTTTCAGAACCCGCAAGGTGAATTCTCTCAAAAACGTCATCGTTCTAAACCCTTACTCAAAGATTCATATTTCTGATCCAGTCAAGTCAATTTCTCCCTAATTGTTTCTCATGGGTATAATTAAGCGATTGCCGGTGTCAGCACGCAGCACAATGCGTTCAGGGATCTTGGTGTTTGATTTAACAAGAGTTGTAGAGGAGCTTGTTTTTAATAGCTTGGATGCTGGTGCTAAAAAGGTACCATTTTGCATTTAATGTGAAAACTTCGAGTTTATAAGATTAATAAAATGTTGGGATTTTTTATGTTGTTGTTTAAGAAAGAAAGATTTCAGCTTTATGCAATTCAAGCGACAAATATTGTTTTTCTTGTGCAGTTTTTGATACCCATTTTATGGGAAATTTGAGAGGGACATTATGTTATATTTTTAAAGAAAATGTTGGGTTTGTGAGGAATGATGGTTATCTTTTTGTTTATGCCAAAAAAAAAGGGGCTAGTACTATGCAATTCAAGGCTAGGTTTGTTTTTCATGTGATTTGTTTATTATGATTGTAATGCATATCATGGGATAATGTTAGTGTTTATGAGGAGTGATGACTGTTTTGTTGTTTCAGGTTTTGGTTTACGTTGCTGTTGGGACCTGTTACGTGAAAGTTTCTGATGATGGTTTGTTAAACATTTTTTTTTTCCTTTTTCAAGGTCAAGGTTATATCGAATGTCTTAGCTGACTTCTAATTGTGTTATTAATTTGTGTGCTTTCTTGCTTGCAGGATGTGGGATTTCACGGGATGGATTGGTGTTACTGGGAGAAAGATACGGTAGCTAAATTTTGCTTTTATTTTTTATTTCTTTTTGATATGTATAGGGTAGTAAGTCATGTTTCTTATGTGGGTTTTTAACCTTAAAGTTTCGAAATTTACTTTTTGGGAAAATGCAGCTGATGTTTGTAAGAGGATTAAATATCAATAGCTTATGATACTCAGTGAAAACAAATCTTGGATTATCTGTAAATTTCAAAAAACTATGTTGGCTTCTCTGATCGTGAACATATAAATTCTAAATCAACGTAGGGTAATAAACTTGATTTTTAACATTACTAGGCTCCGTATAGAAGAAAGGATTATGGATGGCTAAAGATGGCATACTACAAGCACTTTAATATAAGATCAGTGGAGAATGGTGTTAGTTCTTATGGTGGGATGCATGTGTTATAACCAGAATACTTACAGTGGAAGAAAATAAATGTATAACTAGGTTGATATCATATGATCTTTATTTATTATCCTGCCATGCGATAATGTTTGGGTTTCTCTGATGCGTGAACAGTGACATCAAAGGTTCAACATTTGGCTGATATGGATGTTGCTAGTGGAAGCTTTGGCTTCCGGGGAGAAGCTTTGTCTTCTATCGCTGATGTCTCAGTATTAGATGTATTGACAAAGGCTCGTGGAATGCCGAATGGATATCGCAAGGTCATGAAGGTTGGATTGGTTCATGACTTTTCGATTTCTGCAGGTTCATTTTGTCAGTTTGAGTTCACATTCTTGCTGCTATACATGTAAGAATCATATTCTTCCAACACTACTCTTTCCAGGGATCTAAGTGTTTGTGTTTGGGAATTGATGATGATATTAAAGATGTCGGCACTACAGGTGATACTTTATTTTGTTTGGTTATTGCATTTAGCAAGTAGAGATTGCTTCCCAGGTCATAGATCCGGTCATGCTTTTAATAGATTCAAAAATCTCTTTCTCAACATTTCCTGGTATGTTGGCAGTTGTTGTTCGTGATTTATTTTACAACCAACCAGTTCGGAGGAAATATATGCAATCCAGGTTTCTTTTTGGCCTATTCTCATTTTCTTGTCTTTTGGAAAAATGGTTCTGAGCTGCCTCAAAACAAGTACTTTTCATCTTGAATTGCACTGCACTGACATGATTCTCTTGTCACTTGGATCACTGAATTTGAAGCCCTAAGAAGATACTGCACTTGGTAAAAAAATGTGCACTTCGTGTTGCTCTTATGCATTCAGAGGTGTCCTTTAAAGTTGTTGATATTGAAAGGTATGTAGTGGTCACGTTTTCAGTTTGGAGCTTTCTTTGTTTGTTTTTTTAACATAAGATGGAGTTTGTATGGTTGATGTATTTGTTTTTGACACCTTGTGTTCCCAAATGTAGTGAGGAGGAGCTTCTCTGCACAAATCCATCTTCTGCAATGTCACTGTTGATGAGTGGATTTGGAATTGAAGATTCCAGCTCTCTTCATGAACTGAATATCAGTGACGGTGTATTAAAGCTTTCTGGCTATATATCTGGTCCTTGCAGTAGTTTTTCCATCAAGGTACAATTTATATTTATTTAGTCGGGATTACTTTCTCCTTTCTCCTTTATTTTATCTTCTGGTTTCTCATTCATCGATGTTCTTTTTGCAGGCTTTCCAATATGTTTGTATCCATCTCTGCCTATGCATATCTTTTTGGATCATGTCAACTGCTGTTAGAGAGGATCGACTGTTTAGTTCATTTTTCTTTTAACCTTAATGATGCTAGATATCAATTCACGGTTTGTTTGCAAAGGCCCAATTCACAAATTGCTAAATCACCTGGCCTCTAGATTTGAGCATCCAGTTCTGCAGAAGGCTAACAGTGTGTCTCAAAAAGGAAAGAAAAGCAGGCCTCAACCATGTCCAGCTTATATTTTAAATTTGAGTTGCCCTTTCTCTCTCTATGATTTAACCTTTGAGCCATCAAAGACACATGCTGAATTCAAGGTAATGTTATTGTCTGATAATGGACTGTGATTGCTGTGCATTGATTTGCTTTGCATGTTATTCTGGTTATGACACCAGGTTCAGTACATTTAATTTGACTTCCCAGATCTTGACTTTTTATCTGGATGCACTAGTGCTGCATCCAACCCCATTGCCTAGAATAAGCAGCTGCTGTGGCATCGTTACCTAGGATGCGATGCAAAGAGTCATTGCTGTGTGAACAGAAGATTCTCAGTATGATATGTCTAAAAAGAAATGTATTTCAAAACAAAACAAAATAAAGGACACAAAAGAGTTAGCATGTGGTAAACTAGTGTTGTATGTCTAAATCAAAATCATGTCTATCTTTGAGATTCTGATTTATTTATTTGATTGTATATGGATTCTGATTTAGTTCAAACTTGAAACAGAAAAAATGTATTTCAATCCGGTCACAACCTTTTTCTTCAACTAAGCATCTGATGTGCAATTTTCTTATCAACATAATTGAGTGTATGGCAATGCATGTATTACTCCACGAATATTTTTCCTGAGAATGAGCATGATTATGAGGCCACAAGCATGTGCTTTCTGTATGGTAGCTAGAAGTATTTCAAGCGAATATGTGCTGCTAAAAGCTTGCCTGTTACTCACTGTCATTCTTGAACCTTTCATGTTGTTGCCACACAATCTTTGAGTGATTATAAAGTTGGTGTCTTAATTTTTTGCGCTGCTGAGATTTCAACCCTGTCCCCAGGATTGGAATCCTATCCTTGCCTTCATTGAGAAGGTCATTCAACCACTCTGGAGGGAATGCACTGTTTTTGGTATGCTTTCACAGCTCTTTGTTGCTTTAATTGATTGTGGTGTCCATATGATTTATGATTGCTTCTACATTTTCGTTTGACTTTTTGAATGTTTATAGGAGAATCCTCAACTCGGCCAACAGATACATTCCAGAAAAATGACATTTGGCAGGAGGGTAATGATATTACATCAGTGAAACAAGGTACAATTCTATTGTTGATTGCCAAACTTGTTTACCAGCTCCCATTTATTTTTCTCATGCTGCTCAGATTTGATGTCTTTTCTTTTCTATGCAAAAGTGGTTTGATCTGTCTTGACACCTGAATATCTTTTTGTTGCTAGATTTTTTTGATGCAGATTTTTCAGGATTTGCAATAAAGAAAGGCGGGGTTAAAACTCACCAGTCTTCTCGTCATCTCATTTCTTGCCCTTTGAAGATGCTAAACAAAGAGGTTGACCATCTTTTTCACGGGAAGCATGATAAAGTTCCTCAAGAATTCTACTCAAATGTTTCAGAATTCAAAGAGAAACAAGTTGACAAGGAATTTGTTCTTCAGGGTGACTGCTCTTCCCAAACATGGAATGGATCCATCTCTGGATACATGCCAAGAGCAACCAAAACAGATGAGTGTCATCACTTGACATCTGATAAGAATTTTTTGTTGACAGCTAATTGCTTCTTGGAAGATAGTTTCACTACCAGGGAAAGACTCAGTGATCACATGCAGAGGCATTTCTCAAGCTCAGAATGGCAAGACGAGTCCCCAAAAATTGATTCCATGGCAAGAAATGAATCTCTGGGGAGTGCGTTCTCCTTTGATCATTATGGATTCAGAAACGAATTACCATTTAGCAAGAGTAATATAAAACCGATTTTACAGAGTTGCTCCTCACAGAAAAGCCTGTCACTTGATAGGGATTTTTTTGCTGGCAAGGAAGCATTTGAATTTCTTAATGATGGCTTCAAGAACAAAAGAAGACGGCTTTGCACAGTTGAAAATGTGGGTATCCCAAAAGGGGATACGATATTTGATATCTTTCCCTGTGCTTTACCACAGGACAATGCATCATGTACCCAGCAGTTGCCTGCAGACACTGATGGAGCTGAGATGTCTGCAGCTTTTGATCTTCTGCCAGGTGCCTATGTAAATTCTTCTTCACCAAATGGAAAACTTTTAGCTAAAGGGAAAGGTCTTGCATCTAATTCTATCCTACAATTAGAAATGTATGCCTCGGGAAAACATTCATCAATGTCTGATTGGTGTTCTGTAACTTCAAGTGCTTTTTTTCAAGCAAAAGCTTGGGAAGCTGAACACTTTCCAGATGATAATGCAAGTGAGGGGAGCAAGGGATGGGGTAAAAAGGAAAATTGTTGGCATTTTCCTGATAGCTGGGAGATTATGTCAAAGCCTTCCAGCCAAGATAACTTCTTCTCAAGTTGTACAAGCACTGTGTTAGATTTTAAAAATTCAGCTGATTCTAGTAAAGATATCTGCAAATTGCCTCAGTGGCAGGATCAAAATAATGAATTTTCTTCACAACATTCAGATATATATGTTGGTGAGACAGACTGGCTCCTTTTGGACCCAGGTTCTAAAGATCCTAAAAGGAATGATGAGTGTGAAAGGCAAGAGAATCAACTAAGATATAAAGCTTGTGCTGCCAAAGAACGATCCAGAAGAAGCAATTCAACCCCACCATTTTACAGACTGAAGAGGAGGTTTATTTCCTTAAACAACCACTCAATGAGGAAAGAAGAAGAACCATACACTCAGTTGTTCCATGATTGGCTCACTTGTCCAGGTGCTGCTTATGGTTTTGTGCTTTATGTTTTAGCAAATTGGTTCTGAGAAACTAATGAGCCTGTATTCTTTGCAGAAGCTAATGACTTTGAGCATATACCTCTCCAGCCTAGTCATGTGGAGGAGGATTTAACACTAAGAACCAAGTACAATTGACCTCTTTTATTCCCCTTATTTAAGCCTTTTTGCATCCCCAATTGTAATTCAGTTCTTTATGGGATTGATTTTCAGATCCAATGGAAAGAACATGCCAGATACCATGCCGAACAAGGAGACTCCAGAAGGAAATCCAGAGCACTTCCAACACCCTAAGGCTTATGATTCTTCACCTGAAGGTATCTCCATTTTTTTGAGCAATAGTTGTGGTGTTTCACTTCTAGACTGAGGATAGCATTGATGATTATAGAGTTCAATTATATTTTGTCCGAGAAAGCCATCATTTATGAATAAAGTACTTCTACACCTGAACTATTGAGTCTGTTTTAAGTAGCAGATGGATTTTAAATGCTCCTTTTAGTGGGTGTGTTTTCTTGTGGTTAAACAGTTGTGGTTTCATAGTGATTCACCTTTTCAGGCTTTATGCCAAAGGACACCCAGGAGTCAATGGATTATAGGATCAAATGGCGGAATGGCTGCCAACAAATTGCAGTTGAGTATTTTTGCAATTTTTGAAGTGTTTTTTCTATTTTTTTTTTGTTACTGCAATAAGTTCCTTTTCATTGTATAACTTCGTTTCTGATCAATGATTTTATTTTTGCTTTTATTTTCTTCTGTTTACAGAATCACAGCATGTCATCCAATGTTGGCAGTCAGCGAAATATACTTGACATCTCTTCGGGGTTCTTGCATCTTGCTGGAAATTTATTAGTTCCAGAATCTATTCATAAGAATTGCCTTCAGGATGCCAGAGTCCTTCATCAGGTAGACAAGAAATTCATCCCAATTGTAGCTGGTGGGACACTTGCTGTTATAGACCAGGTCCATTTACTGCATCTTTTATCTCTTCAAAATTAGTTTCTATCTGGCATGCATTTCTTTCCATATTTAGTTGATGTGTTTTATGCTGTGTAATATTATGTATGGTTTAAATATAATGTTGCTAAAAAAATTGGTATGGATCTGATATGAACCTCCTTGGAGGGGATAGAGCAAAGGTTATGATTTCTTGTTCAAAGTATACACTTGTAAACAAGCACACAAGTATGTTATTGATGTGCATATGAATATGGATTTAGTGATTTACACACTTTCTACACGTGGACGTGCACATAGAAATGCATGAAGCTTCAACAACTATTTTGTGGTTTTCATGACTGGCAGTGGCCCTTTTTTACAGCATGCAGCAGATGAAAGGATTCGACTGGAAGAACTTCGTCAAAAGGTAAACATGTTTTTGCAGTTTGCATTTTATCTCTGATACATAAAGACAGCTCAAGGACTGGTTGAATGACTAGGTATTATCTGGAGAAGAGAAGACAGTTACCTATCTTGATGCTGAACAAGAGCTGGTATACTTATTCTTCATTAGAGGCTCTGTTTTGGGTCTATGGTGTTGTTGAGTGATTTTACACAAAATTTGAGCCAACTTTGAATTCTATTTTGACAGATACTTCCTGAAATAGGGTATCAGCTACTTCACAATTATGCTGAACAAGTAAGAGAATGGGGATGGATCTGCAATATTGAAGGTTCAGGGACCTTCAAGAAGTAATTTCTATGTCTTTCTTATGCAAACCTTTATACTTCCTGTATAGGATTCATTTATTATCTTTTATTATCTTAACGCTACGTCTTTGTTATTCTCACCTTATTTTGGAACACATCTGTTTTTACAGGAATTTGAATATTCTCCACCAGCAGCCAACTGTGATTACACTTCTTGCAGTAAAGCACTGCCACTTTATGCTTAAGATCATTGACTCTCATTTTTCTACTGTTAAAATAATTCTCATAACCCCATCTAGTTTGGGATTAAGCCTTTGTTGTTGTGTGGAATAAGCATATCTCATAATCTGTTGTAAATTCACGTGCATGTTTAAGATTGAATCCTCATCACATTTTGGTCATTTTAGAACTGTTAGAATTATTTCATTTGAATTACATGCAGGTACCATGCATTTTAGGGGTCAATTTGTCTGATGGAGATCTGTTGGAATTTCTGCAGCAGGTGATATTGACACTCTGTGATCATATGACTGCCCCTCTATTCTCTTCATCTCTCCTACTGCAAGTTATAATTAGTGACTCCTCTTATTTGTATTGCAATCTGCAGCTTTCTGATACAGATGGCTCCTCTTCAACTTTGCCGCCATCCGTTCTTCGTGTGCTTAATTATAAAGCATGCAGAGGTAAGTGCTTATTTCACTGGAAATGCCCTTTTCTCTTCTTTTCTGACTTTTTTAGATCTTTAATCACAAGATTCTGCTTGGACATGAGAACTTGTCTGTTTAGGAATTTATTTTTTCTTATTACATTATGAAGGCGCAATCATGTTCGGAGATTCGTTGCTACCATCAGAATGTTCACTTATTGTCGAAGAGCTAAAGCAGACCACACTTTGTTTTCAAGTAAGTAATGGTTAAATTTGTGTTTTATGACATGTCGGTGAAATGATTGTGTGCGTGCATGTGCCTTGGTGTGTGTAGTTTGTGTGAGGATATGTTGAATGAGACTGAGCTTTTCAATGCAGTGCGCCCACGGGCGACCAACAACTATTCCTGTTGTCAACCTGGAGGCGTTGCAAAAGCAGATAGCAAAACTTGGAGTGCTAAATGATGGTTCAAATGACTTGTGGCATGGATTACGCCGACATGAACTCAGCCTTGAACGTGCAGCACAGCGTTTAAGTGCAGCTAGAGGCTAGTGATTGATGAGAAAACAATAACTGCTTTTGCAGACTCTTCGTTGCATTTCACAACTGTAATTGTCCCATTTAACGAAAGGTCATTCTTTGTTATCTACAGTATAGCTCACTCCAAGGATAGCAGCGCTTCCCATTAATGTACATAAGAATGATAATATCTGCTCATAGGTTCCTCTTGCAAAGACACCCATTATTTCCACACGATGAATCATAAGTGTTTTGGCTTGTTCTCATTTTATTTTGGTTAAGACTAATATGGATATGCATTACGACAAGAATTTCTGCCTAGGATTGTATTTACTCATTGCGACATAAAACCGCTTAAGTTCAACAGTAAACATACAGATGGTTATGCTTGCCTTTCAAAAGCAGGACAATTTTACTTGATGAATTCAGAAAAAAGACAGCTACACGAGTTCATGTCCAGCAAAATCTCCACACCCTTAACATACCACTGGTTTTACTCAGCAAATTTGTATACTCTATGAACACATACAAAAGATCCTGGAGGTAAAGGTAAATCTATTGAACACAAACCAAAGAGAAATTACGAGACAGTACATGTTCATCCATCTTCCAACTGACAGGCACCATACAACTATAAGGCATCTTTTATGGGTGAAGAATAACCCCACAATTAGAGCGAAGGTCACGTTCTCATTGCTATCACGCCAACAACCTCACACTTGGAAAGCCATGGATTCTAGTCAAGATATAACTTGGTCAAACAAATTAGTATCTGGAGACAAAATGAGTGTCAGCCCGCCATGCCATAGTCCTCTGCTTGATCGTAAAGATTATAGTTCCCTGGCACTCCCATCTTTCCTGTCAGGTGGTCATCCCCTGCATTCATTAATTCCATATGCAATAAGAGTTATGGTACTCACATCCCATAAGAACTGTAGTGCTAGAAAGCAAGGTTTTACATTAATAGCAGGCTTGATGGATGAAAATCATGCGAAGAACATAATACCCCTACACGAGAAGAATCTCCCTTTACAAATTAAGGCAGAACCAAAATACTAACAACAATAATATAACAATGCATTCAACCAATCTAAATCATATCACAATAATATAAATAACAACTCTATCAATGAGCCTGATCATACTCACAAGGAAGATGCATCGTACTTCACAAGGACTGGTTTGGTTACAAAGAATAAGAAAAGGCTCAGCCAGAATTAAGGACTAAGGCTGCGCTGGAGGAAACATAAGTTATAGTTTCATCAGAAAGTGTATTCTACATAGAGCATTCTGAAAGGTCACTAAGCCTACCCAATTGACAGGGGAAATTGAGATATCAATATGGTCAAAGGATTATCATGGGTTATGAAAATGAAATGCATAACAATGACACGTCAAAATTGGATCAGGTGACAGCTATCAATAAGCTTTGATTTGATATGGCAGGCTCCAGCCTAAGATTTTATTAGTTACCAACTTTGTTGATTGTTCTACCAGCTTCAATAACAGTATACATTGTATAGTTGAAATATGATGTTAAAATGTTTGTTTGGTTTCCAGGTACACAGTCAACATAAAGAAAATGAACATTGAAGCAATCTACATGCTTGGATTTAGTAGCATACCCAAGAAATGAAGTTCAGAGCTTATCTCAGGGCTTTGGAAGCACAGATCTTCAGCCCTAGGAGGGTTCTGTTGGGCGTGAAATATTTCTGGTTTCTTCTTTTCATTTAATGAATCAACTTCTGTCTCCACTTCCGATTCAGCATTGTTGGATGATGCAACTAACTGCTTTCTTTTTGATCGAGCACGCCTATTTTGGAACCAATTATAGACATTTGTTTCAGAAATTTGTCCATGCTGACTGAGTTCAGATGTTATCTCCTTAATCTTTTGCTTGCTTGGAGTTCCATTTCCTTGATCAAAGATCCGCTCAAGAATTTGAAGCTGCACAGGTGTTGGAGTCCACCGCTGTCTGGCAGTAATTTTGTGACCCCCAGATGCCATCAATGGATCACAGTATAGATTCCCCAACCTGCCTCCTGCAACAGAACAGGCAAAGGCAATATTTGAGCACAAGTCAAAACATAGTCATATATCATTCTCACCTCCAGTTATTAACGTAATCGATGAGTGTGACGAGATATAAGCAGGGAAGCCAAAAATAAAATGGCTAATATGTTAGCATTGGCAATTTTACACAACAAAGCACACGCAAGAACAACTTACATGTCTTCGTAGCTCAAAACCAAGCAGAAACATAATCAACTCAATAAAATTTCAGAAGCAAATGATAAACTCAGCAAGACAAGCAAAATTTGCAACCGTGCTAATATTCAACAAAAACCATGCAGTACCATTTTGTTTTGGTGAAATAACACTTGAATTTCGTCAACGTATTCCATCAAGATGAAGAACAACACTGGGGCATTCACGTTCTCGCATAGATATAATACCAAATTCAGAATCAGCAGTGACATCAAATCTATAACCTTTTTGTTCATCCAAGAATAAGAAAAGGTAATCAAATTGATCCGATAATTTGAGTAAACTAACTTATCAAGGTAGATCCTTCGCTACCAAACCAGTAATTAGAAAGAAAGATTCACTGAGTATCCTCGAAAAAGAACCCCAATTGCACACAAGCACAAAAAGTTACAATTTATTACTTCAAAAAGAACAGACACAAACATGAACTAAAAACCCTAAAACCAAATATTACTAATAGTGCACAAACTGACAACAGTAGTACTGCTAAAGAAGCCGCTTTACCCAGTAAAAAAGTTGTCACTTTTATGTCATTGCCATCAAAATCTAACCATATACAACACCACAGAAAGAGAGACAAAAAATCCCATTAAAAAAAACAAAGAGAGAGAGCCAAAATTGAAAAACCTGCAAGATCTTGCTGGGCAGAGAGGGTTTTATGCATCTCAACAAGCTGTTCGCAAATAGCAGCATAAACAGCAATTTGCTTCCTTAAAGTTTCGAGTTGTTCATCTGTCATAACTTTCACATACAACATATTAGTTCCACCATTACCATTCACATTCACATTAGTCCCGTTAATCCCATTTCTACACTCTCTTTGATTTTGATGACTGTCCTGGTGATTTTCTTGATTGTTGTCCCAGTCCATCCTGCCTGCTATACTTTGGCAGTCTTAAAACACTAGCTTTCTTGATTTCTTACTTTCTACAAACGTTAGAGGAGAGGGGAATGATGTGGGAAAAAGAGAAGGAAAGAGACAGAGAATGAACAGTGAAAAGACAGTGTGGGAGAAAGTGCAAACGTTGTTGGTCTTTGAGGCTATTGTGCTGTGTTGGATTCTTTTTTTCTTGTTTTTTGGCGTGTGCTAAGGACAAAGCTAGGAAGGTGTATCTATTAGCGATAATTACGGCCGATTGATTTAATAAATATTTTGGAGATAATTAGTAAATTGCTTTAAGCATGATGTGCATTTGGGAGGTGGAGATCATATGGTTTGATTTTTGACAAGTCAAAGTTGCAATTTCTCATAGCTTTTTCAAGCATTTCCATGGTGAGATTCACTGAATTTATGGTTAGAGCACTGCATTATCCAAGGCTCAAAAGCTAGGGGAGGCGGATAAAATTAAATAAAAAAAATATTATCATAAAAAAACGACCATATTAATATCACCATGGTTTCTTTGAAATCCAACCTCTCTCTTTATAGATCTGATGTATTTCCTAAGCACACAACGTTATCTTCGCCGATAACTTACCCTCCAAGAAAATTTTAGGAAGTGAAAGAAAAGTCCCAAATTGAAAGATGTATGAAATAATAATTTTAGTAAATTGAAAGATGTATGAAATAATAATTTTTGGATCAAAATGGGAATTAGGTTTATTTTAGGTTTTCCAAAAAAGAAAAGGTCCGGTAAAGGTTTTTTTTTTTTTTTAAAGCTTTTTCACTTTGCAGCAATGAATGTCAAAATCTGATGTGAATGGATGGTCTAAAGTAAACGTACAAGAACAAAAGCTAAAACTAAAGGGATTTTCACTGTACACGTAATTCACCGTTCACTCTAATTATTTTTCATCTTTCAAAAAAAAAATCAATGGTTATAATGATGGGGTGTTTTGACATTTTCACATGGTATTGATAAAAAAAAAAATTAAAAGTCATTCGAGAATTCATCCTAAGTATAATTATTTGTTTGTTTATTGAAAATTATTTTTTTTTGATAAATGAATTTTAGAAAAGTTAATTCTAAAAAAATAAATTATTTTTTGATATTAAATAATATAATAA